AATGAAACAGGTGGCAGATAATTGGATTTCTGGATGGCTGATCCCTTTATAAATTGAAAAAAGTTAAATACAAGAGGGCAAATTATGTGTTCCAATAACAATGAAATCCTCTGATGTATCCCAGTTTAAGAGTTTCTCATTTAAGGCCTGGACTTCAGTGGTTAAAAGGAAAAGTGCATTCAAATTAGGTAGATAAAATAGACAATAATCATGGATATCTGAGTAAAGTGGTGGCATTTTACATTCTTCCTTTTCTATGGCTCTATCGCTATAAAATCTGAGCACCTATTTTGCAGAGGTGTAAGTGTCTACACAAAGTGTCAGGCAGTGGAGTGTCCGACCCTACCAATACACATCACATTTTACTTCAAATTTCTTTCTCTTCTATTCATTTTGAGCCTTTGTGAGTCATACATTTCAAATGTTATTGTTTGCTATTTGTGTATTTGGGGCTCAGCAACTTAAGGGTTGCAGTGTCTCCGTGTAATTGTTCAGTTTTCCCCGAGAGAGATAGAGAAAGAGAGAACCAGTGAGTGGTGACAACATAGCCCTCCGCTTCTCTCCATATCCTCTGGGCACGTCTCTCCAGTCGCTTTCCTATTGCCTTTGTTTTAGCTCCACCCTACTATCAGTCTTTTTACCACGTACATCTACAGCAGGGGTGGCCAACCTGTGCCTGAGAAGGAGCCAGAATTTGCCAGTGTATAGTGCTGAAGAGCCACAGTAATATGTCAGCAGCTCCTATCTGCTCCCATGCCCTGCCTGCCAGCTGCCCTGCCCATCAGCACCTTCCCTCCCACCCTGTGCCTCACCCAGCATTCAGGAGGCTCTGGGGGGTAAGGAGAAGAGTGAGGGCGTGGCAGGCTTGGGGGAGGGGGCAGGAAGAAGCAGGGCCTTGGGGGAAGGGGTGAAGTGGGGGCAAGGCCTGTGGCAGAGGCAGGGGTTGAACAGTGAGCATTGGAAAGTTGGCACCTGTAGCTCCAGCCCCGGAGTCGGTGTCTATGCAAGGAGCTGTTGATTAATCATAGTTAACTCACACAATTAACTCAAAAATTAATAGTGATTAAAAAATTAATCAAGATTAATCACAGTTTAAATCACATTGTTAAACAATAGAGTACCAACTGAAATTTATTCAACATTTTTGGATGTTTTTGTACATTTTCAAATATATTGATTTCAATTACAACACAGAATAAAAGTGTACACTTCTCACTTTATATTATTACTTTTTATTATAAATACATGTGCTGTAAGAATGATAAACAAAAGAAATAGTATTTTTCAATTCACTTCATAAAGTACTGTAGTTCAATCTCTTTATCGGGAAAGAGCAACTTACAAATGTAGATTTGTTTTTCTCACATAACTGCACTAAAAACAAAACAGTGCAAAACTTTAGCGCCTATAAGTCCACTCAGTCCTACTTCTCGTTCAGCCAATTGCTAAAACAAAAAAGCTTGTTTACATTTGCGGGAGATAATGCTGCCAACTTCTTATTTACAGTGTCACCAGAAAGTAAGAACAGGCATTCACATGGGACTTTTGTAGCAAGCATTGCAAGGTATTTACGGGCCAGATATGCTAAACATTCATATGCCCCTTCATGCTTCCACCACCATTCCAGAGGATGTGCTTCCTTGCTGATGATGCTCCTTAAAGCAATAATGAGTTAATTAAACTTGTGACTGAACTTCTTGGGGGAGAATTGTATGTCTTCTGCTCTGTTTTACCATATTCTGCCATATATTTCATGGTATAGAAGTCTTGGATGATGACCTAGCATGTTCTTCGTTTTCAGAACACTTTCGCTGCAGATTTGGCAAAACGCAAAAAGGTACCAATATGAGATTTCTAAAGATAGCTATAGCACTTGACCCAAGGTTTAAGACTCTGAAGTGCCTTCCAAAATCTGAGAGGGATAAGGGGTGGAGCATGCTTTCAGAAGTCTTAAAAGAGCAACATTCAGATGTGGAAACTATCGAAACTGAACCACCAAAAAAGAAAATCAACCTTCTACTGGTGGCATCTGACTCAAATAATGAAAATGAACATGCATCGGTCACACTACTTTGGATTGTTATCGAGCAGAACCCGCCATCAGCATGGACTCATGTCCTCTGGAATGGTGGTTGAAGCATGAGGGGACATATGAATCTTTAGCGCATCTGGCATGCAAGTATCTTGCAACGTCAGCTACAACAGTGCCACGAGAACACCTGTTCTCACTTTCAGGTGATATTGTGAAGAAGAAACGGGCAGCATTATCTCCTGAAAATGTAAACAAACTTGTTTGTCTGAGTGATTGGCTGAACAAGAAATAGTACTGAGTGGACTTGTAGGCTCTTATTTTTTGTACATAATTCTACATTTGTAAGTTCAACTTTCATGATAAAAAAATTGCACTACAGTACTTGTAATGGGGGAACTGTAAAATACTATTTCTTTTGTTTTTTACATTGCAAATATTTGTCATAAAAATATAAAGTGAGGAGTGTACGCTTTGTATTCTGTGTTATAATTAAAATCAATATATTTGCAAATGTAGAAAACATCTAAAATATTTATATAAATGGTATTCTGTTATTAACAGTGTGATTAATTGCACAATTATTTTTTTAATCACACGATTAATCACGATTTTTTAAAATCACACAATCACAAATCATTTTTAATCACTTGACACCCCTAATATAATATGGTACTTTAATAGGGACAATTGCATAAAGCTGAAAACAGTTATGAGTAAAATCAGTTGGGAGGAAGAATTTGATCAGAAAAGTGTGAATGATAATTGGGAATCATTTGAAAACACCTTACCTGATACCCAGAAATATACTGAGACTTTTAATGGTGTGTTTGCAATGGTACTAAGAAGGCTGACGTTTCTGTATACCAAACTCAGAACCTTTTTGGAAACTATTTAATGTTAGGCAGTGTGACAGGATCATATTAATGCCTTTGACTCTTCGGGCCTATATATTCCATCTAAGTTAATACAACAACAGGGCTGCAGCTCCACTCAACCATATCCTGTCTCATGCTCCACATCATGTGGGTTCTCTCCATTCATTATTTTTTGTATGCTTTCTCTTTTTCGAGGTTGGGTACAACAAAATTAAATAGGTAGTACATTATAAATTGATTCATTGAGTAATACGTTCAATAAAGTTCTGTCAGTTCTTATTTTATATCAAGAAGTATAATTGGTTTACGTTCATATATATTGTTAAACTTGGCACGGTGTGGCACAGCAGGGGAAGTGCAGAGGTGATTGTGTCTGTGCTCTGTAACCTAGAATCGTCTGCAGGCTGCCCTGAATTATACTTGCTGCCAACCACTTCAAGGGGACGCCATGACATCGAAGAATCAGTGTGGAATAGGGATGTTTTCCTAGTCTTGCCCTCTTTTACCTGGCAATAACAGCAGGATATAGGAGTGGAATAGCTTTGGATACAGACCAGATTTAGAATCTGAAAATATAAAATCTTTGGTAAGTGTATATGGAAAAAACAGAAATAGTTACTATAATAACTATTTTATACATTTAAAGAGAAATTGCAACCAGAGACAAGTAAACAGTCTTGTTTTTTTTTTTAATTATTTATAGCATCTGTTTTTCCTGCTTTAACATATAATTGTGAAATTACTTTATTGACTTCAGTGGGAATTTTGCCTGTGTTGGGTATGTATAGTTAGGCCCTGTGTATGGTGCTGCGGAACTGTCAATAATGTCACTGGCATATTCTTGTTACTGGATTCAACTTTTGCTTTGAAAAGGCTGTATCATGGTTATCAATGATCAATAATCACCATATGTTATCTTTAGCATTTTCATTTTGGTAGAATATTTATACATTGTGATTGCTTTTTATTTATTGAGCATATCTGTGATATATTGGGATAAATTCTGCCCTCAGTTACTCTGATACCATGCTGTTGATTTAGATGATTTGCATAGGTTTGGTTGAGTGGAAGAATTTGATGAAATTCATGTGAAACACATCATTTTTAACACCACTAGATATGAAAAAAACCCACAGTTTTAATTTGAAGTAGTCGCACAAAATGTTTGTAAAAGGAGAGGATTGTTTTTGTACCAATACTTCTGTTTTGCTCAAGGAATGACTGGGAGCACATACTCACGCGAAAGATCAAGAATTCTGATGGCAGATATTTTTACTTTTAGCAAAGGGTTTGTACTCAGATCTGAAACTCTTCAAGCTTTGGAATCCAAGGTTTTGCATCTTCACAGGCATTTTACATCTATCCCTAATCTCTAAGACCCGCTTTCTGAATTTTGGTATCACAAATAGCTTACCACAATGGGCTAAATTAAGATTAGCATCATTAACTATTTGTTAAAGTTCTGGCTCAGTGTTGGATATTTATTACCACACTAAGGGCCCAATCCTATTTCCAGTGAAGTCAGTTTTGTCTTCTGAAGTGGATCATAACAATTTTAAGATTTAAAGATCTGAACTAGACTAGGCATACTTATAACAAGTATAGAGATGTTCTATTCCTTAATTTCTCCTGTGAAAGCTCACTTTTCCATGTATTCTGTTGCAAAAAATTCTGTATAAATAGCAACTTATAAAGTTTTGTAAATAATAAGAATCCAGAATGCAAAAATAGTAACAAAATAATGAAAGTTGATTTTTCAATAACCTAGGGACCGTATTCTACAATGAACATTAGCCTAAGTACGTTAAACTCTTTTTATTCTTTGACTTTTACAGATTTAATAATATTTTATTTTAGCTGAAAGAAATTACTGTATATACGTTTTCAGTGTCCCAGAAACAACAGTGGTTTTGCTAAACCATTGTTACATAATGAGTTGGTTCTTTAAACTGAAAAAAATATTTTGCTGTCTTGTGTTTCCAGTGATTATAGGAAAAGATGTATTGATTTCTCCTTATCACCCTCTAAAAGTCTTTGATTAAGACTAGAGAATTGGTGGCATTTCAACACTGCCTTTCTTTTGTGTTTCACAGGTTGTCAGCAGTCGGCCATCCCCTGACACCTCAATGTGATATGGACTCCAGTAGCTCTGAGGAGTTCTATCAGGCAGTACACCATGCTGAACAAACCTTCAGAAAGATGGAAAGCTACTTGAAGCAACAGCAACTCTGTGATGTTATCCTGATTGCTGGGAACCGTAGGATACCTGCACATAGGTAGGGCATAAAAACGTGGTGTTGAAACAATTAAAATAAACATCTGGATTATCTATCAACCTGCACCTTGAAAAGTCACTTATGCATGTGAAAAGTGGATGCAAAACTACCATTCTGATCTGAGTGTTTTACATCCACATAAAACCAAGTTTGCTCAAGTGAGGACGTTCACAGAAGTCAATACCTGCAGATCAGTCCTACGGGTGTCTTTCCCCCAGTATGTAAAATTTATGCTTATGATTAGTTATGACAGATTTATAAATTTAAAAACAATTAGTTAAACCAAAATATGCACGTAAACGAATATTTCTCATTACTGCCCTTCCCCTAAACTGTTAACTTGCATAGGCAGAAAATATGCATTAAAACTAAAAATGTTACTAACTCATTTTAATCATAATTATGCATGCAAATGTATATTGCCATTACAACTTGTAAAAAAATACCAAGCTAAATGCATTGCAAAGGGTCATCGTGGTATGAGGCAGCAGACCTACATGATGCTTTTCTTAGGTTATGGCTTTCATTTACACCTGAAACTACTCCCTCTTCATTGAGGGCCTGATTTCAGAAATGACCTCTGATTTTGTGACAGTAAAATGGCTCTCAAAGTGTGTGTGGGGGGAATACTGGGCATGAGACCCCTCTGAAAAGCAGACCCTAGTGCAGGGGTTCTCAAACTTCATTGCACTGCAACCCCCTTCTGACAACAAAAAAATACTATACAACCCCAGGAGGGGGAACCAAAGCCTGAGCCCATCCAAGCCTCCCCGCCTTGGGTAGGGTGCCAAAGCTGAAGCCTGAGCCCCGCTGCCTAGGACTGAAGCCCAAGGGCTTCAACTTCAGCCCTAGGTGGTGGGGCTCAATCTTTTGCTTTGGCCATTGGCCCCCGCAAGTCTGATGCCAGCCCTGGTGATCCCATTAAAATGGGGTCATGACCCACTTTGGGATCTCGACCCACAGTTTGAGAGCCACTGCCCTAGTGTATTTCTGTATTCAGCCATTTATTCAGACTGTAATCAACCTGTGGTATTTGTGGGCCATTGCAAGGAATGCCTCATCACTTTAAACTGACATAGGCAGTGCCTAGAGGTCCAGGTTGTGCGGAGTGGCCATGCACTGGTGTCATTGTCTCCTTTGCAGTGTAAAAAAGCTGTGAATTATACTACTCATACTGAGAAAAATGCAAGAGCCATGCAAGGGATATGCAAGACTGGGAAAGTCAGCGCAATGATTGTCAATGTATTAAGGAGAAAATATTCTTTCCGTTTAGGTTTTTATTTTACCACCGTAACCATATTATCTAAGTAAATGAGATGCTGAACAAATGCAAGGGACTAAGATGCAAGGTACCTATCTATGATGATACAGAAATATACTCTCCATTTAGGTCCCCATCAGGAATTGTGGAAGTGGCCCAGAACTCTCCATCCCCTGCTCAGTGCTCTTTCACCTTTCTATGCCCCTGCTTCAGTCTCCTCTTAAAATCTGGTTCCTGTTCTTCTAACCTTCAATATCTGCACAAGCCCATTTGCCAGTTGCAAGCAAACTCCTCAAAAATTTTATCTAGTGAACTGACAATCCCACTGTCTCTCATTATCCTTCCTGTCAACTGGCTCAACTCCAGCATTCCCGCCACCACTTTATACGCCCACCAGACATCCTGAGCGGATGTGGGTATGGTAGTGTTTAGACATAGCTGGGTTGTCCAGACTCCTTTCACATGTAGGTGCGAGTTCCACATGGGGAGAGGAGGATCATAGATGAATCTTCACATCTCCTCTGTGTACTGGATTCAGTCCTTTGGGATGGGCTCATACATAGATCCTGACACAGAAGAATACTTAAGGACTGGTTATCATTTACACTAAGGCCCCACTAATTTACACCCACCTTAAGACCCCTTTTCACTATCATCAGTGTAAAAGGGTTTTAGAGCAAATGAGAATTAGGCCCTTAATCCTTTATGGCTATTACTTTTCTAAAAATTAGGTAGTTTCTGCCTAACTGTCCACCTTTCACACATGGATAAAATGGGTGGGAAACAATCTCTTCTAGGACTTAACCCACATTATTCAATTGGATTAAACAACAAAAAAGTATATTAGGTACATTACCGTATTTTCTCATTTTTTTGCCATGATATAAGTTGAATAGTTTAAGGTATATCTGTGATCCAAGTCACCCTGTATTCACATCCCACACACTACTGCAATAATTTTGTACAGAATATGCCTTGTGAGGTATCATTTGAAAACTGATAACACCCTGGTCAATAATATCATTGTAAAATATATGTAGCAATGCTGCATGAAAAAGTATGGCTGCTCACTAGTACTGTGTTTTAAAGTCTGTGTCCTAAAAGGTCTTTAAATCAGACATGTCAGAAGGAGTTGATAAACAGGTTTTCTCTAGACAAAGGAAGGAGGCGGATACCTCAGACCAGGTGTGGTCCCTTTTCAATATACCAGCATTTCTGAAACTGGGGGCCTGCAGCCCCTGCTGATCAACTCCTCCCCCATCCTTCTCTCGTCCCCCTCCCTCCCAGGGACTCCCTTAGCTGTTCCCTGGCCTGAAGGAGGCCCTGGGAGGGAGGGGGAGGAGTGGGGAACCTGGGACCACACCATTCCTGGAAGCAGCCAGCCCGTCCCTGTGGCCTGGGGGTCTCCATGCGCTGCCCCTGGCCTGAACGTCGACTCCGCAGCTGCCATGGGCCGGGAATTATGGGCAATGGGAGCTGCAGGGGCAGTGCCTACAGGCAGTGCCAGCGTTCAGAGATCCCCTGGCCCCCTGCCTAGGAACCACTGCCAGAGGTATGTTGCCAATCGTTTTCGGGAGCCACCTGACATAAGAGCTGTCCATAGGGGAAGGGGAAATGGCTGAGCGGGGGGTGTTTGGGCATCCCCAAAAATTTAAATCAAAACAGGGGCCCTCAGGTTGCTAAAGTTTGAGAACTACTTCAAGAGAGTATTCCTTTGTATCGGAGGTTGCATCAGGAAGAGATCATTTGCATAGTAGTAACTACCAGCGGAGGGGAGAATCCAGCATGGAGCCTTATCTTTCAGACCTCCTGGGTCCTTAACTCATCATGAACTAATGAACTATATTTGGGGTACCCTTCAGAAGAATACATTTCAAAAGTTTACAGAACTATAAAGAGAAGGGGAGCAAACCCCTAAATTATCCTTCATTTTAAGGAGACAAAGGAAGCAGTTTGATTTTAGCGATGGGTCCTAGCAAGGCCAGCCAGTAAAAGGCTGCAAAGGAGACTGTGGGTGAGAGAAAAAAAACATCTTTTAAATTAAACATAAATTAAACATAATTTAGCAACACAAAGACTGTCTTGCTAAATTAAGTTTTAGACTTTTAGATGAGTGTTTTCACTTTCACTTGCTGATAACCATGTCTGCCTTTATTTTATTTTACTTGGTATCACTTAATCCATATTTTTTTTTTGTTAATAAACTTGTTTTGCTTTCATTATATATCATCTGTGCTGGATAAGTTCAGTAAAGTGTGTGCTTCTAGTATTGGAATATTGGAATATTATTGTACTGTCTCTGTAGAGGCAGGAAACCTAATACATTTCTGTTAGGGTCCTGTGAGAGTGACTGGACCCTGCAGGGAGGGCACATTCAGGGCTGGATGGGTATTAACGTCTGCCTTCAAGGAGTATCCAAGTTGGGCAAAACCAGTGTGAGGCTTGAGGGCTGCAGTAAGGCTGTTGGATTTGGAGCTCTGAACCAACTGCACAGTCACAAAACACCTAGGGTTACAATGCAGGTGTTGACTGAACCCCTTACTGGCCTGGGTGAACCCCAAATGTTACAACATCCAGTGCATTTTCTTGCCAATTTTAAATGCCTCAGTAGATGACAAAGAAGGCTTGACAGAGGAGTCTTGTCACTAGAAGGTCTTTAGTTAGTTCAGTGCCATCTTTCTACTTGTTTTTATTTTGAAGACAGATGTGCATATTTGTATTCATACTTGCCAGTGGTAAATTTGATTTCACATGTGTCATCCCAATTCTACAGCATATCTAAATCCCTTTGGAACTGGGAAAGTACTCTAATAAATATAAGATTGACCATGAAATAAAAACCAAAGCTTGTTTAGATTTACCAGGGAAGCTTCAGACAACCTTGTGTATCATTTCTGGCTTCTCAGTTGTCTGCAGTCAAAGGACTAAATCTGTTCCTCCTGAAATGAATGGCAAAAACCACTGTTAAATTAAATGGGAACAGGTTCAGGCCTTCAGAAATATTTGAAACCCCTTGTTTTGTTGTATAGGATAACAGTTCAGTGTTTTACAGATTCAGACAATTGCAAACCTCACTTTCTTGTAGGTTCACTATACACATTGCCTGACAATACAGTCAACATAGTTGTGCATGCACACACACTCAGGCACACACATTACCTTAGCATACAAACTAAAACCAGCCAAACCACTAGTGATTTGTATGTTAAAATTCTTTTAATACTGGTCCATATGTAAGGTTAGCAGGCTCATTTGTGTATATATGCCTCTAAGAAACAGGCTTGCAGATCATGTTATGTGCTCAGTAACTGCAGAGCTTATAAAGTCTCCAAGCCTGTAGAGTTTATAAATTCCTAAATTGTGGTGTATACTTCCCTATACCAAATAAAATGACAAACACACTCCTCCCTAAAAAGTCAGTCTGAAATTGTGTTTTAATTATTTTGGATAATTTTATAACAGGTTACAAGTGGCGCCACATGCTGGATATGCTAAGTTGCAAATATACTTTGCAACAAGTTAAAGACATATTCAGAATTATTCTCTAATAAATATTAGGTAAAGCATCAGCGTCACTAACTGAATTCAGATGAAAATAGGTTCTCATAGGAATGCATTACTACAAATGAAGTGAAGTAGATGTAAAGTAATTATCCTAGCATTGATTTGTTCTTGATTTTTCTGAATCCAACCAGTGGCCACTCAAGAGGAAACTCTCTGAATGGTTTTGTGTTTTATT